GGCTCAAGGCGAGTTCCCACCACTCTGGGGCTGGCAGGGAGCACTGGCAGGCTCCCAGGCCTGGCTTGGGGCCCATGCAGGCGATGCTGGTGCGGAGGAGGCAAGGCTCAGCTTCCAAGCTCTCTCTGCTGGGGGTCCTGGCCAGCACTACTCTGCCCCCACCGCCCAGTGTGCTCTCACGCTCACCTCGTATTCCTGGGAGAACTTCAGCCCATCGTTGGCTTTTAGCCTGTCAATGTTGTCGGCGAGGTCTGTCACAGGGATGGGGGGGTGGTCACGCATGCCTGTGAGCAAGACAAGGAGGGAGGAGGGAGAGGAAAATGGTTATGCTCTGCGTAGCTGAGGAAGATTCAAAACCAGAATGTGCACAGCAAACTCGAAAGGTGGGCGCAAGGTGGACACGTGTGACTATGTGAAGCGCTGGGAGAGATGGATGGGAAGTTGGCGAGATCACATGGCATGCTGCACGCACTCTGAGAGCACATGGTCTAGTGAAACAGAAAAGGAAGGTGACGTGCAGAATGTGCATGACTGGGTGAGCATGCTCAGACAGTACAGCCACCAGGCATACAGAGCAGGCCACGCAGGGGGCAGGGGCTCGGGCAAGCCCCTGGCAGGAATGGGCCAAGGAGATGCTGTCAATGTGCTTCCCAGGCTCCTGCATGGGTTGAAGTTGAACACACTGATTCTCTGGTACTCTCACCACAAGGGCTGAGGCTGATTCTCTCTGTTTACCCCTAAGAATGGCATTAGCCAAAAAGAAACTTGCCCAGTCCTGCGCCAAGGGAAACCTCTGTGGTGTGCACAGCTTTTTGGGTAGGCAGATGCTGCCCCAGCCCCTGGTGAGGTGCAGAAAGATGGGAAGGGCCCCAAGGAGGAACAGCTGTCCTCCTGGTCAGAAATTGCACAACTTTCTGAGAGCTGAGGAGCAGCTCTGCCTGCAGCTGTGTAACTCAGTAATTTTCAGTTGTGCTCTGGAGGCAGAGCCAGCTCAAGGGCCCAAAATCCAACTCCACTGGGCTGGCTCTTGCAAGGCACCATATGCAGTCAAGTACCCTACAGCAGCTTCTGTGAGGCTTCTGTGAGGCTTCTGTGAGCTGGGATGCAGCTCAAGCCATGGCAGAAGTCTTGCACTGTCTAAAGGGGTGCACAGTATGGCTCATCTTGGGCACTGCCCAAGTTCTGCTCAAGGTAGAGAAGGGGATCCCACAGGTTCCGCACAGGGAACAGTTACCATGGGGGTGCACATGTGGCCCCCCTACTGGGGCCTTGGTATTCAGGGCTCAGCCATCACAACCTCTTTCTCTGAAGCTGAGATGGTGAATTGGCAGAATCGTAGCTGTGAAACATCTCATCCAAAGCCTGGCTCATCCAAATCCCAAGGCTCATGACTCTATCGGCTGCTCTGTGGGTTTCCCAGAAATGCCACGTGGGTAATAATGGTTATTAATAGGCTGAAGCTGTTGATTCACACCCAGGGAGACTGGCTGGAGCACACCCAGGAGCTTCTCAATCACTTCGGAGCCTGAATGCTGCCGCAGATGGCAGTGATGGGCTGCTGGGGCGATGGAGCAGTCCCCAGACTGGGTACATGCATTTTACACAGTGGTGACAAGTCGCTAGGTGATAACATGAAAGTGTTACACTGCAGCCACTGCACAGCAGAGCTCTTCACGCCTCTGCCAAAAGCATCTGACACCGCTGCATATAGGCAAGACCCGGTCCAACACACACTTGTCCTTCCATCACTTGACAGTGCAGAGCTATCCACAGATGGCCTGAGAACACATGGACAGGGAAGAAAAGATCTCTCTTCTGCCTTGTGCTGAGTTCCTCCTGCAAATGGTCCTCTGTTTGCCGCTTCACCCATCAGGATCCCCAAGGTGGTTAAGAAGTCCCACAAAGACAATGCTTTGATTTCTGCACAACTTGCTCACTGGTGCCAGAGCTCCAGAGGCTGTAGCTCAGGAGCAGCCTTTGCAGTGCAGAGCTGCTACTGATGAGCAACTGAATGAGGAGAACTGTGTGGGACTGAGGCAGAAGTGTGGGGCTGGAAGAAGAGGCTAGAACATAGCCACACTATGTGCTTATCCCAATGTTGTTATGTAAGAGGTATGGCAGAGCCATGGACCACAGCAGAGCTGCAGACACTCATTTCTGCTGAGGAATGTAAGGGAATCTCTCCAAACTTCAGTTTTACCGGCCAAAGCAGCGTCGCAGCAATAAAGAAGCTGCAAGGGCAGATGGGGAGAAAGAAGTGGTTGGTATCTCATTATGGTTAACCTAGAGCAACTGCCACTGACAGTGCAGGGCAAGACAGAGGAGATTTGTACACACTAACATGCTCTTCCAACAACTCTGGCTGGAGGACAGTGAGCGCTTCACTAGGCTAGAAGGGCTCAGAGGTCACACAATGTCTGCAGGGCCACAGGCTGCAAAGCCCTTGGCTCTGCTCCTGGGGAAAGCATCTATCCCATGTACTTCTCCCCTGCCTGTGTGCACACACAGATGCCTTATACTTTAAGCATCAGGGAGGACATGCTTTTATGGTTGTTTAAGAATAAATCTGAAGTTCACAAGACAAGAGGTAGAGGGGCCATAGTCCTGTTAGTACTCCTCCAACCCGCTAGAGCAGTAGGTCCCTCAGTTCTGCACCTGAGACTGCTACCAACATCGCCAAGCAGACCAGCTGCATGGCAGTTCAGACATCAGCATCTCTTGGCATCCATTCTGCCAAACTCTATGGCACAGGCGACCCAGCCTAGAGAAGCCAGTTTGCCTGAGATAGGAGGTGAGTGTGTTCAACCACTGGGCTGCAGAGAACCCTTCAATAAATCCATTAGGAGTTCTTAGCTGGCCACCCTCTCCAAAATGGCCACAGATATCTGTCCCCATGCAGGGCCAACTGCAGGCCTGGTGCCACGGCAGAGCCTGGCATGCCACTGTGATAAGGAAGGAGGCCTGGGAGCAGGTGAAGGGCTGCTGCAGGAGCATCCCAGCATCCAGAGCTTTTCCTTTTGCATTGTGCTGTGGTGAGCTGCTGTAGTGCTGTGCAAGCAGTACCCGAGCTTGGCCCCACATGTCATGTCAGAAAGTGAAATCACTGCTGTTCTACAATCTGCTGTGAGTGAGGGTGACCTTCATGACATTGAAACAAAAATTACAGAGACGAGAGAGGAAGGGAAAGAAAAAGCAAATGGTGTCAAAAGAGAAATACAGGAGTTAAAACTAACTTGAGATATTCGGGCAACTGGGGACACTGGCACCTGCAAAGAAAAGAAATGGGGCAAGAACAGAAATCCCATTAGCCTTTAGTCATCATCGCAGAGGTTCAGAAATGGAAAGACGAAGAGATGAAGATGCAAAAGAAAGCACCACCTGCCACAGCACCAGGAGCCTCCCTCCTACACAGAAATGGCTGCCTGGCCCGGGGGCTGCTCTGCAGCTGGCTGGTGCACACCAGGCTTTTGGCTTTGGCTAGCACCAAACGCTGACAAACACATGGAGCTGGAGGTACCTGCAGGGGAGGGAGCACACAGGTCTTCATCTGACACCATGAGCTACACTTCTCACTGCACACCATTATCCTCAGCCCAAGTGCTCAAGGGGAGTCAGCAAGGGCAGGTGGATGGCAGGCACAGGGGACACCTGTGCTGCTCAGTGGCCAGGACTGTACTCAGGCCCTGCAACCCCTACTCAGTGCCTCTGAGCCTGCAGCTTACTCAGCTCATCAGCAGCTCAACTCAGCTTCATTTCATGGTGTACTGGGACACTGCCTGGTCCTGTATCCTCTCAGTGACTTGGCTCAGTGGTATGTTAGTACAGGGAAGCCAGCAGTGGGGGGAAATAACCCTTGTCTGAAGTAAAAACCACAAAAATGAGAAAGCTTAATATTTAATAACAGTAGCTTAATTAATTATGCATTAAACAAGTTTTCCCTGCTCAACACACTCCAGCAGGGAGACCAGCTACTGAAGCGTGCAGGGGTGGTGACCAGCACCTCTTGTCAATGCATCCACACAGCACAGCCTCGACCTCAAGCAGCAACAGGGGCATCAACATGGGCCCATTGGGACCGTGGTTTTTGTGCCTCCTCATTAACAAGGACAATCTCATCAGGAGCTGGAGCAGTCACTTCTAGCTGCACAACACCCACATCTGCCCACAGAGCCTCACAAGTGAAGCTATGGTGGAGGAGGGGAAGAGGACACTGGCTGTCCCTTGGTGGTGGTTGGCTAGCAGCACCCCTGGGCACTGCTGCTGTCTCTAGTGAACTGGGCACTTGGTTTGCTTTTGTTTTCCATTTTGTTTTTTTAAAATCATCTCTCCAGAGAGCTCTGCAAGCTTTCTGAACAAGCCAGCATCTTTGGTTTATCCTCAGGCACAAGTGTGATTAGACTATTTCCCAGATTCTTCTCTGTGATGGCAGGTCTTGATCTTTCCTGCAGCTCTAGCAAGGGATGCCCTCATTGCAAACAGCCTGATCTCTTGTTGAAGATCGGCCTAGATGCAAGCCTGACATGTCACACTCCCCCATGCAAGTTAAACCACAAGCATACAGCAAAGATGGCTCTTGTGTCCCTGAGCAGTGGAGACATGTCACAGAGACATGTTCCCATGCACAGATGTCCTGGAGCTGTCCTGTTCAACATCTTGCTCCTCCTCAAGGCCTGACTGTATGTGACTCCCTTCACCTAACGCTGCTGCCAGTGATCTGCCTGCTGAAATGTTCTTCCTCCAGCACAGGTGCCTCCCTTGCTCCACACAGCATTTCCCTCTCATGCTGCAATACCCCGTTGACCTGTGTTGTGGCCACTTACCAGGACAGGTCTGCTGCTTATTGCCAGGCTGTCACTGTGAGATCTGCAAGCAGTCCTGTAGGGAGATGCACTAACTACAGATCTCTGACAACTGCTTTGGCATAAAAGGAGAGGTACTGGTGAAGCCCACGCCATGTCTGAGCTAGACCACTGTGAGCAGCAACAGGAAAGGCTTTTTTTTACCTTCTTGCCCAGACACAGCAAGTTTACATCAGGAAATGGTCCCTTCAAAACTCTCCTGTTAGATGAAAGCTCTTAGATGAATGAGCAGCAGGAGGAAAAGGAAAGTAGGTTACAGACCAGGAGGAGCTGCAAGTTAGAAGAGAGCTGTATGTGCCTCATTTATTGTGGAACTGTTCCCTCCGCCTCAAAAGCCCAAGCACTCCCCCACTTCATCTAGGGCTTGAACTCTCTAAGAGGCTCTGAACAAGTCAGGGTGAGCCTGTCTCTGGTAGCTACAATGACAAGTACCATGCTTTTGGTGCCATCAGAAACGTACAGATACAAAGCAGCAACATGAGACCTTTCTGCAGTGTGAAGTACAGTTGCCTCCACAGGCTGGAAAAACTAGCTACACCCTGAGGCACCACAGGCCAACGCAGGCATGACAAGATCCTCTGCAACAAACACTTGTATGCAGAAGGGAACAGCTGTTACTAAACTATCATCATCTGTGCTGAGGCCATCAAGACCAGCAGTGTCCTTCACTGGGCCATGACACTGACTGAGGAGAGATGTAGGCTGCAGGCATCTCTTCACTCTTAGCTGAGCAGAGCAGGAGAGTCAGTACATCAAAGATCCTGGGACAAAGCTTCTGGGACACCCTCAGTAGTACAAGGGTTCTCTGTGCCTCCTGATCCTCACAGGTGCAGCCCTGGTGGCCAGCACTGCACCAGTGGTGCTCAGCACTGAATCTCAGCCTGGACCAAGCCAGTGGAGCAGTCACGAGCAACAGAGGTGTGGGCTCTTGTGACCTCTTCCAACTCGGAGGCTTCTCCCAGCTGAGGACAACCACAGTGAGCTTCACACAATGCCTGACACACCACACACTAGGCTGTCCCCGACCAAGTTCCCCAGCCTTGCGTGCCTGCAGTGACAGGACCAGGGAGAAGGATTTGCAGACCAGAGAGCAGACACCTGGATATCCTTGGTCTAAGCTCTCTCTGTGCTGTTGTGACTGAGAATGTGCAGAGCTGCTGAGGACTGCATCTCCTTCTCTGGCACGGGGATCTGGCAAAGGGGAACTGGAGGAGGTGGGGTGCAAGGGGGTTAACTGCTCCTTACCTGGAGTCTGGTAGTTGAGCCGCCTCATCTCAACTGGGTCAGAGGAGTGGGCCAAGAGTGAGTCCTTCAGGCCGATGGAGTGCTCATCCTTGGAAGAGGGGGAGTGTGCCCTTTTCCTATGGACAAAGACAAATGTGAGCTCTGGCAGAGATGGATATGAACCACCCTGGAAAGGAGTCTGGATCCCTGCATCTCAGATACCCAGCTCCATCCCAGGCTCCCCGGGGCTCCGGACAAGTCACATACTCTTCCGTGCTTTCAATTTCCCACCTATGAAACAGGAAGGATCATATTTAAATGACGGCAGAGGTTTGATCAGTGGGGCACTTTGAAAAGTGATATTCTGCATAATATTTATTAGAGAAAAAGCAGATAGATGAAAGATGTGGTTTCCTCTTACTCTCTCTAGGAACTATTTCCTGTAGTGGAAGGATAGAATAAAATTTTTTTTCAAGTATTAGAAATATTTAAATATAGAATGTTGTAATATAATAGTGTAAAGGCTCTTCAGGGTATGTTTTATTGGGCCATTAATACATGTCTTGAATGGTTGAAGGCACCCAAGGCATGTATTAATGGAACAATAAAATATACTGTTGTCTCTTCATGCTGTATTTATGCCTAGAGCAATGCCACCACCTCAGGCTCTTGCTGGAATTCTCAGGCAAAGCAGGGACAGATCCAATCAAAAAGTGGTCAAGTGAATATTAAGGATAATCTAATACTGCAAGAGGGTTTCTACTGACTCTCTAAGTCCCACTTGTTGCTCTATATTACAAATACAGTGGATATACCCATGCATCAGAGAGAGGTGGTGGGCAGGAGCAGGACAGTAGTACTCTCTTCTGCATCTGTGCTGACCCTGATACTTTGCCAACGTGCTGAGCATGCAGCACTACACAGACTTTGTCTTTTGGCTACAGCCTCAAAATGAATTTTGCCTGACGGCAAACCCCTCTGCTGACTTCATGTTTTCTGGAAGAGAGGGAGCTGCATCACTGCTACTCTGCAAAAATGCCAGCACATTTACCATCCTGCAAATTGCAAGTCAGTTTCTGCTTTCAACCCCCTTGTGAGGCATTTTGAAGCACCCTGAAGGGCTGACAGGTTCTGCACAGAAGCAGCTGCATATCTGGATTGTGGTGACCCTCAGCCATGAATGATCAGAAACACTCTACACAGGCACAGGGAGCTGTGCATGCTGCATTGGCACTAGTGAGAAACAATTAGGGAAAATTCAATGCATAAATCCCAAGTGAAACTTGCATTCCCTCTGTGACCTAGACTGTGAGCAAGCTCCATCTGCAGCCCATGGCTGTATCACACACTGGAGTTGTTCAATGGGGAGGACCAGCTTGTGAGTCTTACATTACTCTGAGACATCTCAGTATCTCAGAAGTCTTCTAGCTGCTTGGACTGAGACCAAACAGCTGGAGGACTGAGAACGTTGATAGAAAGAAAAATACATGGCAAACAACTAAAGCAGTGTTTCTCCTATCAGGAGCATGGCAGGATGTGCCATGTGGTACTGTGTGCCAGTCCCTGAGCCCTTGAGAAAAGTGGCACAGCTTTTCTGGGGAATGGGCACAGCACATAATTAATGCTTGCCTTTCTCATTAGCCTAGTCAGGGCAACTGCTAAACAAACCTCCAGATCCCAAGCCATCCACTGCAACTCAGCTTCAGTTCATTCCCATTGTAGATTTGACACTGTGAATTTGCTCCACAGATACTCTTGGGACAAAATGCTTCCAAAGAGAAGCTGGACAGCAAAAAACTGCAGGATAACACAGCATCACTCTGAGCATGTGGGTGGTGCTGGAAAGGGATATGCTGTTACTCCATGGGCTGGGTCAGGTGTGAGCACAGTGGGCCAGTGCTGCTTCCTGGTGCTCCATCCACACCAGACTCTGGGACACAGCAAAACGAAGCCAAGCTGGGCACATCGTCTATGGGGCCCAGGTACAGAATTCCCCCTTGGGGCCATTTTCTCTCCTGAAGGACCAGCAAACACTTTCTTACAATTATCTGGTATTCCCTCAAAGCTTCGTCATAGGCTGCAAGAATGCACCTACATTCTTGATGGAACAGCTCCCAGTCTGAAGTGACTGAGAAAACAAAGAAACACCTATAACTGCTGGTGTTGTCATATTTTGATTTTTTAATTTAATTGCAAAAACAATCTGGGAAGCCTTTATGCTGAAACTGTCTCCCTGGGAGCTGTGAGAGGCTGACAATTGCTGGGAGGTGGATACCTTTGAGGAAACAAAGTCTTTGTAAACCCCCAGGGCTGGCATGCCCCACTCTCCCAAAAACAAAGATGCCCCTTACTAGCTTCAGGCTTGATTTTTAAAACAAAAAACAGACTTAAAATTTTAGCAGAACAAGAGATAAAGTGGATTCCTACCTTTCTTGTTTACTAGATCCAGGGAAAAGCAGAAAGAGAAGAAAGGAGATGATCACTGACATAGAAAGGCACTGACTGCACATGCACAGCAGAGCTCCATTTAATCAGACAACAAAGCCAGCTCCTTTCTCGGAGCTATGGATACATATGTAAATAGAGTCCAGGAGGAGCAGAACCTGGGAGCTGAGCTGATAGAGAATGACCTATCGTAATTGAACAGGCTACCTGAACACTTGCAAATGCAACCTGTGGCTCCTCAGGAGGACTAGCAATCATCTCACACTACAGTTACAGCTCTAGCAGGATAGCTCTGTTACACAAAAGCAGGTGGTTGTTTCAGCAGGGAACACAAAGTGTGGATGGTCCTGATCTGGCAGCCAGGAGGGAGAGGCAAGAAGAGAGCTCCTACTCTGATTTCACCCTGTCACATCCATGCCCCGTTCTCACCAGCAAGACCATGCACCTGAGTGGAAATTCACAGCAGTGGGGGCACCTGCCAGAGATCAGGCAGGCCATTTCCACAGAAAATCAGTACTACAGATGTCCTGAAGGCTGTAAATCCAAGCTGTGAGAGCAGAGAGTGGTCAGACAGGCTTTAGGGACAAAACTGCTTCCTTCTGTCCCACTTCTCACACATTTCCAGAATCCCCAGCAGCTCTGTGTCCTGGGGCTGATATTAATTACCTTCTGCATACCCAGCCCTTCTGCTCTCCTTATAAGACAGCCTTCTGCTGTGCTTTCCTGTTCCCCATGACCAACCAAGGACTGTATATCAGAGCACCCTATATCTGAAGGTTAAAAGGAGGGTCTTGAAGGTGCCACCAACTCTAACGCTCATGCCATAACTGATATGTCCTGAATTGGATCTCACCTTTTGAAGAGGAGTATAGCAATGACAATGATGATGATTAGTATCACAGCCAGGACAGGTCCCATCACCCACAGCATCTCTGGTTCATCCTGTTGCTTTGCTGAAGCCACTTCCATCACAATCTCATCCGAGTAGGGGCTGGCTGCATATCTCTTCTGAACAGCACCGGCAGGAGAGGGAGAGAAAAGCAAGTGCACATTATGCTAAAGCATCAGCTACAGCCCTGAAATGTGGAGGTTTCCCCTTGCCTCTGGCTAGCAGGGAATGGTCATGCTTCTCAAACCCAGCACCACACCAAGGGATCCTCCCTCAGCAACAGTGGTTGTCACACTGTGGAAACAGCCTCTTCCTGGTGTGAAACACTCCCAGTGCCAGCAACTTTCTGGCTAGCAGATCCAGCCCTGAGATGCCAAACTGGAGCAGTCCAGCTAAGAGCCATTTGCCAGCCCTGGATTCTCTTGCAGCCAAATCACAAGCTTTTGAATCCCAACCAACTGCACAGTGGGGCTGGCTGATGATTCCTAAATGGTTTGTAATACCTGCTGTGCTGATACCAACACATCTCTCCAGGACAGGGCTATATTACAAAACCCCCTGCTGGGCTAGGCGGATTTCTTTAAGGAACAAAATGACAGGAACATTTTCTACCTGATGTCTCAGCCCTGTTAAACAGACCTTGGAAGGGGCTCATGCTTACAGGTTCCTTTCCAGAGATTTCTGCAATCTGGCAGCCCAGTGATTTATAACCTGAAGGGAGAACTTTCTAGCCTCACCAGCAAAAGAAGATTAGCAGAGACCCAAACCCTTCCTGCAGAAAAATGACACTGCACCTGGCTTGTTCTGCTGCTGTTGCTAAGGCTTATGGAGTTGTGTTGTGCCTTCACAGCTCTACCTTGCTGGGTCAGAAGGGTTAAATGCTGCAAAAAGAAATCCTTTCCTCTTATTAGAGAGGGCCAGAGCTGTATCAGTTCAGTGCCTGTGGCTTTTGAGAAGCACCTGCTGCCTGGCATTAGGGAGCCAGAAACACTCTGCTCCTGTTACAGAAAGTTTTGGTCACTGAAGAAGTGCCTGTGGATCTATAAATCACCTGCTTTAAAGTTGAAGTTTAAACACACACTTCATGTCTGCATGCATGTGAGAAGAAAGGGAAAAATCAAGCGTGCTGGTGTCGCACAAATGCACACCTTGATCTCCTCTCATAGGTGCCCTTGATCCCAGCCAGCCTGGTTTCAAACATGCATGGACTACAGAAAATGCTCTTATCTCTGGCATCCTTCTGGCAGCATGCACAGGTGCAGCATCCTAGCTGCTCTCCTCAGATTTTATCAGTGGTTACAGATGCCACTGGCTGGAGGGCGTGTATGGAGGGTGGTTGCTGCTTTGTCCATGAAACCTTTCATCCATATGAGATGCTGATCCTGAAATAGTTGCTGGCTCATGGTTCGGCTCTGCTCCTAGAGAAAGTCTGCATGGGATCACTGCAACCCACTGGCATATTCCTTATGCCCCCTTGTCCGGTTCAAATAATAGGGCAGGGAATCAGCAACAGCTCTGTCTGAGCACAGCAGAGACAAGAAGATACCACATCAGTGGTGAGAGGATGGGGTAGAAGGTTCAGGACTCCTTTTGCATGGGCAAGTGGCTACTCTGAAGAAGGCACCAAGGCTTTGCCTGTGACTACCCAGAAAGGTCAAGCTGCAATAGGGGTGGGGGAGGTGGGGCAGAGGGACAAGGAGCACACTGATCTGTGCAGCAGGGTAACATGTGTGTCCAGCTCCAAAGCTCTGCACAAGGGGCAAAGATTCATATTTTTTCAGACACATTGGAGATGCCTCCTTCCAACAGAAGACAGCAGCAGAGGAGATCAGAAGGACTGTTATCTCAGCGGCATTTCCGAAGACAGACTGCGAGGTGCAGGTGTCCCTGCTCTCAGAGATGGTGTTTCAACCACAATCCCCTCTGCCTTTGAAGAATGGCAATGTTATGCTCACCTTCTGACACTAGAGACATAGCAAGCAATTTAAGAGAAGCTGAGAGGGGGAGATAGTGCACAGCCTTGAACAGAGTGCCTCATGCTTCAAATGAAAATGGGTGCAACACAGTGGGGGATGTAGAAAGGCGGTCTCTAGGAGCAGGGTGTAATAACTCTGCCAGCTGGTTGTTCACTGGAGGGCTGTGGCAGATCTCTACTAGAACGGAAATTATGATGATAATCTGGGGTCACCTAGTTAAGGTCATCTCTTTTTGACAGAGATTGCCAAGACAGCGCATCCTGAGGCCTCTGCCTTACCTTGCTGCTAATCTGTGACTCTTCTCTCACCACTGTGTACATCTTGCCACAAGAACACATGAGCTGGATGAGTAATGAAGAACTTGACCAGCCTTAATGAGCCATTACAAGCAAACGAGGCTGAGGAAGGAAGCCACAGCTTGGCAGCTGACCAAAGTATTCTGTGCATCTCTATTATTTCCAGTATTTACATACTGGTTGCTGCTACTGCTGCCACAACCACTCCTGCCCTCTGTTTACAGCTGGACACTGATGCACAGGTCTTGCTGTGTGCTCCCTGCTTATTGCATCAGCTGCTCCCTTTCCCCTCACATGCTCAGGCTCGGTGTGCACGCTGCCGACACAGGCATGGCTCATTTGCCTCTAGCAAGGAGAGACAAAGGAGCAAGAACCCCCACGCAGCTGGCAAGTGTGCAGCTTTCCCTGTTGACAACCTACTGTGATGGGAGGCAGGTTTGCTTCTCCAGATGTCATCTGGAAGTGAAATTCTGGCCAGAGAAGGGCCTCTGAAAACAGGTTTGCAGGAAGAGCTTCCGGTCCCACCACAGAGCCTCAGCAGCCATTGTGCAGGGTAGGATTTCAAGGGGCTGTTTTCCACTGTCACTTACTTGAGCCAAAGCAGAATGAGCACCTATCCCACCCCAACCAGCTGTGGCTGCTCTGAGCACAGCCCAGCAAGCCACAACTGAGCTTGTGCAGAATGCATGTGTAGAGACTGCCTTCCACTCTCATCCGTTATGTCAAACACAGATGCCATTTCCCTCCAAACACCCCATCTATCAAGTCAGTTCCCACAGCCGTCTCAGCTTGTTGAGACCAGCTGCAGCCTCTCTCTCCTGTCTTCAGAGAAAACTCTATCATCCCAGCTTGTGCTGATTGTTCACCCTGACTGCACTGAGCCCACCTCAGCTCTGCTAGGAAAGGCTGTGTCCCCCCAGCAGAAAGTCCTTACCGTGTCTCCATCCTCCAGCGAGGCCAGTACGAAGCAGCGATAACTCAGGTCTTGAGACAGGGGCTTGTTGTAGAAACCTTTGTAGTTCTTCTCATCCCCCAGGGTGAAGGTCTCGGGCAGCACATCCACTTGAGCAGCAATGTAGGGCTTGAGTCTGTCTGCTTGGCGTCGCTGGCGCCTGCTCTGACTCCCTTGGCTTATGGCCTCCAGCAGCTGGGGACAAACAAGGTGCATCACTTGCTTCGCCCAGTGTGACACCACCCTATGCTGTTACCTTACCAGTTGCAGGACTCAGCAGGGTGGAAGGGAAGGCAGGAGAAGATACTGGGTTTGATTTGGTCATGGTGGTACAAAGAAAGGAGAGGGACGCATTATCCATTCAGGCATTGCTAGGCCACCCATCTGTAGACCCTCACTGCGAGCACTTCTGCCCAGGAGCTCAGCTTTGGGAGAGTCCTGAGCCCTGCCTGGGATGGTGACAAGGTGGACGTTAGGGCTGAGGAAGCCTGGGTGTGCTTTTCATCCTGAGTTAATGCATCCCTATGGGCTGCGAGGGAACCAGGTCACGTTCTGTGCCCAAAATATTGGTATGGACAGCAACTCTCACTCTCTACGGTCCCTGGACATGAATTACAGCTGACACTGGTGTACAAGGAAGAAGTGACATTTGCTGTGTATTTCTCTCTGGCAGTGCCTCGATATTTCACCTGCTGCTATGTTGCAGGCAGAGCTTTGTGTAAATCACACAGAATGATAACAGATTTCATGGGATGTTCAGAGTAAAAATGGCAAATTTCATAGTCAGCCACAAATTCATGAAAAAGGATATAAACACACAAAAATTAAATTACACTGCTAAGAAAGAATCTCAGATGTTTAAAGATGTTTTTTCTAATGAATAAAAACGAGTATCAGGCTCAGAACAGAAATTCTAATTTAAAATGAAGAAAAAGGCATGAAATACATTTCACACACGGATGTATCAGTGCAGTATTGTCAGGCCAGAGAGGGAGCATCAGTGGGGCTGAGGACAGTGCACACAATGCCACAGTGCTTAGCTGAGCTCATTCCCTCTGAGAAGGAAAAGCTGGGTAAGGCACCCCCCACTTTCCTCTTGACAACCCATCCTTGCTCTCTTACAAGTACTCATGTTGGAGAAATTTAGGAAAGGAAGGGAGAAATCTCAGTTTCACAAATATCCTGCAGGGGGAAAAGGCAGAAAGATAGTCTTTGGACTGTAGAGTTTGCTTCTTACACCCACCTCTTGTACCTTGGCTGAAACAACAGCTGAGCTCCTTGGGGCAGAAAGCACAGCTGTGTGTGCAGGAAACCAAAGGGGTCTAGCAGTGACTGAGGTTGCTGGATGCTACTGTCACCTATATTATGTAACACCCACCCCAAAAGACTGCACCAAAAGAAATGCTAGGCTTGCAAAGTCCAGATCCTGACAAATGAGCAAATGAGTATTGCCTGTGCAAAATTAATTCAGCTGTTTTACATATGTGCATTGTGCTACAACCCTTGACTGCACGGTCACATTCTGTCTTCTCTGTAACCCCCCTGGCTTAGTTCAATACACAGGACAGACACTGCTTAATCAGAGAGAAGCTATTCCAGATTTTGTTTTATTCTTTGCATTATGCAGCCTGAGGCCTTGTTTATTGCTTACTATTCAAATCCAGCTCTGAAGACAAAATTAATAATTTCCTCATGGGCTTTTCTATGGTGCTGATCACGAAAATATTACAAGTGCTTCACAAACATTAATGATCTTATCTTTCAAATACCCATATGAGGTGAGATGAAAACGATTATCCTAATTTTACAGATGGAGAACAGAGACTCAGGGACATTAATTTAAACAATGTCCACTAATTTTGAATGTCAAATTGAAAAGACATCACTTTATTTTCTTTTTTAAGAAAACTTACTCTTTTTAAAATTTTTTTTTTATAGCACTGCCTGTATCCAGCAGAGCTCCTATTGACTTTTTCTGCAGCTGGGGATGTTTAAGCTTTGCAAATGAGGCTTCAGGATCTAAAACTGAGTACTCCTAAAAAACAGAACATGCAAAACAGTGGCTCCTAATGAAAATTTTGTTTTAAATCATTTGCCCAGACCTGGGTGTAACAGAGATAGAAGTCACTTCTCTCAATAGCCTTCAACCACCACAAGCTCAAAACCAAACCATCCTTTCTCATCCTAGTCTTTTATTTCTTGCAACATCTTCTAACTTCTGCAATGAAATGATGCAGGAGACCTACAGATTATGGCTCTCCATCACACAATTGTGCTTCATGTGCAGAACAGAACCACTCATACATGGTGTGAGCTAGGACCCCAAGGAAAAGACTGTGCAATCATGTAATGAAAGATTAAAGATAAGCAAGTTGGCTTCTAACACTGTAATTTCTGAATGCTTCAAGCTGGCAACTTCGTCCTTTTAATGGACCTTTCTGTCATTTCTTGGAATTTTCCCTTATTATTTTGGGGGTAGTGCTGTGTGTGGGGAAGAAAGAGCCCACAAACTCCTTGTATGGGAATCTTCTGACACCTGCACATGTACCACGCTAATGGTGTTGGAGGACTCCTGCACAGAATAAGCTGCATCTTGGGGCAAATGGGTTGGTGAATGGTGAAAGCCTTTAACAAGCAAATGTGAAGCTAGCTTTGAAAGTTTTGACAGATAATAGAGTAAACTCTTTATTCAAATTGTAGGTCCTATCACTTTGTTTCAAAATCAGTATGGTTGCTTCAGCTGAAAAAGACTGCAAAGTGTGTACAAGCCGAGACAGGAGCTGTCCTGGGTCAGAACTCCAGAGACAGTCAAGTGTGGTCTCCCACGGGGCATATTTTGGGAGGTGGCTCCTCCCTTGCTTGGCTCCAGCCTCCTTCCTACATGCTGTCACCAGCCAAGAAAGGCTAAGTGGGCATTTCACGTCCCACAGCTCCCCATCCCACAGCCTGCACCTAAGTTGCTGCACCCCTGCTGTGGCCAGGAGGCCTGGGCAAAGTGTACTGGGCCACCTGGGAGCCACTTCCATTACAGCAGCTGCTACAGACTCCTACCTGGTCCAGCTCCATCTCATCAGGTGTCCGCCACCGAGAATTCAGGCTGCTGGTGCTCTGATCTGCTGGCACAACCACAATGTAGTACCACCTGGAAAGAAAGGAAGGGAGGAAAGCATAAGCACTGGATCCTAAGTCACCTCTCTGGCAGGTCACCAAGTAACACATGCCATACATCTCTCAAGGATGATCTGCTCCTCTCTCTGCCCTCTAAGCAGCAAAAGAGCTCAGAAAGGAAGAGGCTGGTTTTCCAGCTGCACCAGAGAATACTCCCATTAGTGCTCGTTAGGTTAATGAAGATCTACAGACTCTGCTCCAGAGGGTGGTGTAGAAGCTGTGAGAAGGACATTTTATATAATCGGATTGTAGCAAGAACCCTGGGGGAACTGTGCTTCAGCACAAGGATACCACAGTAACAAATAAGACTTCCACAAACTCGCTTTTTTAATCTCCTTGAGGCTTTAGGCATTATTTATTTAAAGGATATTATACAGTGTCAGAGAAAGTCCCTCCTGATCCTCAACTGTGTTTTTGCTGGTAGCATCTGGAGTATACTCACCAGGGTGAGGGCAAACTGTCAGAGAATTGTCTTAATTTTATCGTACATAAATATTTGCTCAGAAAGAGCCAGCTGCGTGATCCCATGTTACTGGTAAATGTCTGGCTCTGTACTACAGCCTGCTCGGAAATTCACTACCAGGTTCCAAAATTCAAATGTTGGCAGGTCCACCCTGCCCTTTTCCCCATATCTAGCCTCCTACCCTGTCCCCTTCCCCTAGGCACAGCACCTACCTAACTGGCACAGTGGTCTGGACTTTGGGAAGGGTGAGTGTGAATTTTCCTTCCTGTATATACTTGTTTGTGGCAACGGGTTTGCTTTGCAAGACATCAGGAGCGGTGCGGATTGAGACGAGGTGCTGGAGTCCCCCAGCACTGCTCCCACGGTTCATCAGCACAAAGGAATAGTCCGTGTCTGGCTGGAGGTCACTTATAAGTTTCTTCATCGAATGGCCATCCACCTCCACACTCTGGCTATTGTACAGAATCTGAAACGAGAAAAGGACATGCTCATGCAGCTGACAGCTGCTGATGAAAACTCACACTCAAAATAGCAGCCTTAGAGATGACAATTTGGCTCTGGGCCCTCCCTCAGGTAGTTCAGCTACTGTGCGCTTTGTAAACAGCCATAAATCTTTAGTTAAAGAAGAACAGCCCCAAGCACGGGGTTGAACCACGCTCCCTGTGCCTCGCAGCAACGGAGCAGAGAGGGTCATCTCAGCAAAGCCTGGGTGGCCGGTGCCAGCAGTGAGGCTGGTGGTGCCACACGCATTGCTCTTCAGCACCAGTTTGGGGGAGGAATCCAGATGGCTGTGCTTTGCCCTCGTGTGGAAATAAATGGGTCTTTGTTTCTTGTCTCACCAGGCTACAACACACAATATGCTTTCGGTGTAAAATCCCGTCTGCTTCAAATTGGCCTCACTCTTGTGTCTACCAGCTGATGCCTGATCAAATGGTTGATGCAGAGCATCCCCCTCCCAGTAAGATGACTGGAGGGGGGTTACACGCCTCACCAATGATCTAACAAATCCTGCACAGGGCTCACAAATTGGTACCCAAAACAGCGGCTCTGCAGGTGTGACACCCTGTTGCCATGACAACAGATGCTGGTGCTGCGCCAGCCGCAGGCAGATCAGCACTGCTTTTCACTCCTGCACTTGCAGTTGAGGGCTTGCTGGGCAGGGCAGGACTGTCAGTGGCCGGGCAGTCCCCCATGCACAGCTTCCCCTTTGGGCCCACCAGCACCTTAGCTAATGAGATTTTACCAGCTCCCTGTTGTAGTTACGCAACATCTCCACCAGGGGACTGATGTATCAGCCACACCAAACAGCCTGTCTGCGTTGGGAATCTCAATCCCAATCCTTTTGGAACAACCCATGTACCCTGAACCCTGGGTGCTGTCTCCACAAAGCCAGGAACTCAAATGATTCCTGGAGTCAGAGACAAATGGGACGTAGAAGACCGGAGAAACCAGAGGTTGTGCCCCAGCTGTGATAACCCAGCATGTTTCCTTCCACTGGTCAACGGTCCAGCAGAGCAGGGGAGTGCTGGATTCCTGAGAGCAGTGCAGAGACACAGCATGCCAAGAACTGGCAATAGCAGAGAGGCAGCAAGTTAAGCCGTGGCAGGTATTTTGTGCCACAGGCAGAGACCACACAGTAAAATGTGCTCCTTCCAACAGCGGCCTTGAGAGAGAAGACAGCCCTGTGCAAGAAAAATGACTTTAAATAAACCAGATTTTTCACCAGCTGAGCCTGCCATTCAGACTGGCACAGTAGCGAAGGAGAGAACAAACTTTCCTTCCCAGTCACCTTTTTAGCAGGTGGCAGAAATCTGCAGAATGCTGCTGGCTCACTAGAAGGGCAGCTAATTAGCACTGCTCTAATATTTAGTGCTGGAGCTGGGAGGACGGAGGCCCTTGAAAGAGATCTAAAGGAGAATGGAGCATAAGGGCCAGGCTAGGCCTGGAATTTGCATGCTTCAAATCCTCTTCATGTCACTTTGCACAGAGGTCAGGATAGGAAAAGAGTCCCAGCTTTTTTTGCTGCTAAGGATAGACTCCCAACAGGTAACACAACAGCAGTGAGGAGCCAGCAGTGGAGAAGAGATGCTATCAGTCTTTTTTTTTCATTACATGCTTCAGGGATGAACTGCAAAAATAAGTACCACATGCTAAAATCACAAGGGTTTGCAGGGACAAAGCCCTTGCTGGATGCCCGATAAGCAGGAAAGGCTGTCAAAGGTAGGATGGCCAGAGGCAGTTGTTCTCTGTATGACTCCTCCTAAGATATTTTATCCTAGGCTTTAATTCCTTTCTCCAATGAAATATACAACAGATGGGTGTTCAAGCAAGTGAAAGAGGGAAAATGAATAAATGTTGGTTATAGTGCTGAAATACTGGATATTTAGTTGTCAGGTTTTGCCCTGCTCTGTCATAGAAGCAGGCACAACAGAGTGCTAGACTCAAGTCATCTTAGCAGCTTTGCTGTCTGCAATGGTCAGGCACTTCAGGTCAGTTTCCCTGCTTGCTCTGCACAGGAAAAGGCCAGGACACAGTCCTCAATTCAGTTCTGACACCAGATGATTATTTTTACTGCCACGTACAGAAATTTATGTTCAATGACAGTGAAATTGGCATTTGCAGTGCTTTTCTGAAGCCTTCTCCACCATTCCCCATTTTCACAGTTGCTGTGGCAGTTCTACGCTTCTTTTTATGCCATAACACATTGTCTTCTCAACTGTTTTGCACCATTAGTTAAGGTCTTTACACAAACTCTACAATAATGTTAGGGCTCAGGAACAGTCATTCCTGTGCAGTTGAAGATGCCTGAGAGCTCAAGTTCGAATGCTATTTACAGGTTGCATCATGGCCCACTGGTAACTATTTAAGTCAGCACTAAATTTGGCCCAAGGGCTCTGAACTGCCAAACATCGCTGACAAGCCCATGGATTGCTGTAAAATGGCATTTGTGCTGCTCTTACCCACAAGAGATGATTTGCAAAGTTAGGTGGGTCCAAATGTCACTGCTGCCAAAGGTCTGCTGCTTGATTTCAAGGCAGTAAAGAATGTACTGAACTAAATGATGGAAAGACTTGCAGTCTGCAACACTGGAAAAGATAATTACTCAGTGGAGAAGTAGATTGGAGGTTGCCTTTTTTGGGGCAGGAGTAATTACTATATTCTGTGGCAAACACTGTGAGAAAGCTCTGCCCAGCATTCTCATTTCTGAACCTGTCTCATAATAATTTTCAAAAGATGTTGTTCCTTCTCCCCATTTGTAAAATACCTTGTGATGCTGCCTTCTGTTCTGCTTTTAAGTTGAAGAATGTGTCTCAGAAAAGTGCAGTTTCCCCAAGGAGAAGGCTGTATCTATCTCGCACTTTCTGTGAAAGCTCCTGAACAGCTTTCAGCAAGCACACAGGAACAGAAAAGGAATACTGCCTCTGTTCCGTCACAACTGCTGGGCAACATTTTACAAGGAATTTATCTCCTGGACCAGAAGAAGCTGTGAAAATTCCCCAAAGGGAACTCAAACCTTCATTATTGATTTGGTAGCAATGAAAATTCCTAAGGTCTCAGTACATCCCCTATAAAAAACCAAACAAACCAGCACCAGTCCTGCCTGCACTTCACTATTCATTGTCAGAACAATATCTACTTTAATTAAATCTGTTAAAGTAGAATATGACACCCTTTGGGACACAGATTTAGCATGAGACTGTTTATCAAGTGTAGATAATATTAATTGTTCCCATGGAGATTTATCTGGTATGCTAGTTACAGTATTAGACTCTGCCCTCAGCATCCCAAGTGTCTGAATTAGAGGAGAGAGGTGAACCTTGTTTGTAAAAATACAAAGTCCTAAAGGTTAAGGATTTCTTTTGAGTGGCACAGTGAGTGACCTGGAGCTGACCCTCTTAGCTTCTGGCCTTGACTCATGTGTGTCTGCAAGTCTGGGAATGTTAATAGAGAGAAGGCACTATTAGAGAAACATCCCTGTAACATTCTCATTTGCATGACTACTCTTCAGTTAGCAAGTGCCTAATGCCATCTGCTCCTGTGTCAACTGAGGGTTAACCCGCAGCAGGAGCAGACCCTGAGTCACCATCTGTGTAAGCAATCACAGCTACAAGGCTGAGCCAAGGCATTATGCCCTTGGCTCCTGGTTAACTCCATCCCCTCCACCAGCATTATGTGGCAGTAATGCTCCAAAGGTCACACTGTCCCCTTCCAGCAATGCACTGTCAGAGAGAGAAGTGGGCTTTGTGTCCACAAGAATAAGGCAAGATGAAACAGCTTGGTTCTTCAGCAGAGTGCAAAGTAACAGGGCTCTGTGAAGTTCCTTGGGGCCAGATATCTGAACACAGATTCTAATGTACCCTACATCTGGGAAAGCTTTGAATACACAAAGTCTTCACAAAATCCTTATTTGCTTCCACTAAACTCTGCATGTTAACAAGTGTCTGCTATTGATCATGGTAATTCAGCTTCAGGATTTAAAGAAGGAGAGATAGTAACAAGGAAGGGGAGGTGCTCACACACTTTGATGTGGATGCACTCCAAGACCTTGCCCTCCTTCCCCTGGCCATGGATTCCCCACAGTTCATGCAGAATTTGCATTTGTTCTTTATGCACAGCACGGCAGGGTGCACGTGCAAGACGGAAGGGAAGTCACATCTCTCCCACCCCTGGCCACCTTTGCAGAGGCAGCTAATAGCTGCTGAGACTGGGTGGAAGATCATGCTTGGCAAAATGACATGCTGGTCTTGTTTCTTAAGGTAGAGAAGCTGCACCAAGACCTACAGAAACTTCCACCACACTCTAGTCTTTTACCCACATCCATAGTCTGCACTGGGGGACATATAAGAGCAGGAAGACACCAGGTCATCAGCGTTCTCTGCAGTCTGGTGGATGGCACTACATCCAGAATTGTGCTGGAGAAAAGAGAGCAGTTCCCTCTGCACCGACACACCTTGTGCTACTCACACCTTTGACACCTTCTGAAAGGGCGATGATGTTTCTCTCCTTCACTCCCTGAGATTATGCATCTGCCCTGATGCTCTGAAGTAACTCATAATGGCAATCCAGATGTTTGAGACAGGACACATTGCAGAAGGAGTCACTGCAGAAGGAGTCTGATTCCCTGGCTGGTTTTCAGACCACTTTGTCCTTGCGATCTCTTGTGACTAACTCACTTGAATAACTTCCCACACTTCAGCTTCGAGTCAGGCATGAGAACAAGCTTGTGCAACCACTGTCATGGAGCTTCAACAGCCAGCCTGACCAGCAGGACTCAGCCAAATGACATGAGCTAACAAGATACTTGAGAAAGCTGATGGAGGAGTTAAGCACTGATGAGGACTGTGTGAACCACCACTGCAACTGCTGATGGGAAAAACATCAGTAATTTGGAATGCTGGACCAGTTTCCATTTCCCTTCGAAACAGCAAGTAATTTAGGGGCACTATCAAGGAAGGAGAGGGTACTTAAAAGTTGTTATGGTCAAGACAGGTTTCTCGCTGGATAGTGAGAAGCAGGAAACATTTCTTATGATTCCTGAGACACCCCCCTTTGCAGAATCCCCTCTGTCCAGCACATGCCTTCATGGTGATGCTTCAGCCAACGTTATTCTCTCTTGGCTTTTACCATGAGCCAAGTGCTTACTGGCTATTCCACAACTGATCAAAACAGAAATAAATGAACAAAATGACACCTTCTGGCCTAAGAATGAGAGGAGGGAGGACAAGCAGCAGTGTGCTCTGCAGCATGCCATGGGTGTTCAAATGCAAGAGTGGCTACCTAACACGGGCTTGGAGATCTGCACTCCACAAGATCCCAGGCCAGTGAGCAAAGTGACCCTGCTCTGCTTGGCTCTTGTCTGATGTCCTGAAAGCATAATGTGGCAGGTCAAGATACTGCTTCCCACTGTCCTGCTCACTGCCACAGGCGGAGCTCCCTGTCCTCTGCATCCCACCCTTACCTTAAAAGGCACTGCAGATTTATAGGAGTCAGGCACTTCCCAGCTCAGCAACACAGAGGTTTTCATGACGGCATTGACACGGAAGTTCTTAGCAAACACTGAAATGGAAAACAAGATATCTGAGCACTGTCAGGAGAAATCAGGAGGGAGCCAGGCAGCGACTCGGCTCCAAGTCTCTCTTTGTCTAACATAGCAGCAGAGGTCAAAGACTTCAGCTACAGCAGAGAAGTGAGAAATGAGGAGAAAAGAGCAGCAGCCTTTTACCAAGTCTCCAGTGGAGTTCTGCTTTTTGACTATCCTTTCCAGCATCACAGAAAGGAAGCTGTAGGCTGAACTGTAGCCTTCCTCTCTCCCCCCTCCACTCACACTCTCTTTGCTCTTTGCCATGATCAAAGAACAGTGGTGCTCAGGTACTGGATCTGCAGATGATCCTACCCAGCCGTCTGCTCCAGTTCAAGCAAAAGCTTTTCATGTACAGATAAAACAGCAAAGTGTGCCTGTGGAGCAACAAAGGCAATTAAGCTACCACCAATGCCCCTCTCCCCTCAAACGGTAACTTTAAGGAAACCTTTGTTGAGCCTCCCCTTGCCAAACTAGTGTGGAGTCACACGGTACCTGATCTCATTAGTCAGGGGAAAGGGGAGTGTTGCCTCATGAACTGAAGCAAAGGTCCCTGTCCTGGAGGCAGAGCTTGCTGTTAGGGCTTGTTAGAGGGGCACTTACCTTGCTCAACAGGCATGGTCCGGGACTGGATGCTGGGGCTGAGCGGCCCAACCCCCTTATTGGTGCGGGCCCTCACTTTGATGTCGTAAGTGGTATCGGGCTTCAGATTCGCCAAAGTGATACTTGTGTCCTTGGTGATGTTAACTAGGTCCTGCTGGCTATTTATGTCCCTGTATACCACTGTGTAGTTGACGATCTTGCCATTTCTCTCTGCCAAGACTGGGGGATCCCATGCAATCTCTGTCGTGGAAGTGGTGAGACCCACCACACGCAGGTTCTGTGGGAAGCCACTTGGCACATCTTCCGCAGTAGTGATCTCCTTCTCAAACTCCTCTCCTGGGCCAGCTCTGTTCTTGGCAGACAATTTGAAGAGATACGTGGCCCCCTTGTGCAGGTTGGTCACAGTGTAGTGATGGTCTCTCTTCCCGAAGTCTATTGTGTTCATCTTTTCCTCATCAAGACGTCTGTACTGCAGCCGGTAACCTAGCAGCTCCCCTACCATCTCCTTGGGTGGGTGCCACTGGATGAGGGCTGTGTTCATGGCTGTCGTGCTAATCATCATGGTGGGCTTCCCCGGGACTGCAACATAAACACATAATGACCACCTATAGCCTAGGAGGAAGGGAAGGAAGGACCGCTTCTGTGCTGCTCAGTCCATCAGGATTGAGAAAGTGGGAAAGTTCAGAAAACAGGGTGAAGAGGACGACAGACAATTCACATGGATAGAGCCAGACTGGCCCTAATCCAGTGGTGAGGGAAGCTGGAGCCAGCCAGCTCTTGGCTGCCATCTTCCCACGTGCTGTCATCTAAACAGGCAGTAAATTCAGCCATATCCAGCCCCAAAATTCATTCCCTTTTACAGGAAAGATTTAAAGCAACTCAAAGCACCATATTTATCTTAGAGAAGATCCCGTCCTCCCAATCAGTGGTCTTCAGACACTCCAGCTAGTGCAGAGCACCAGGCCACCCTGGCCCCAGTGCACTGTGCCACAACAGACACACAGAAGCCCGAGTCCAGCACCCTGATCTGTTTGGAGGCAAACAAATTTCATCCTGAAACCTTGCAGTTTTACCATCTGCAGAGGCAGTGAGCAGAGCTGGGTAGGCTGTTTGCCATCAGAATACGTTTTGGTTTAGCTGATGAGCAGATTCGTGATGCCAGTGTCGATGTGAGAGGTGAACACAAGGATTCCACAGGATTTTTGCTTATGCTGCACAAGTCAAGGGGTGTTGCCGTCATTGGTTAGGAACTGATGGCTTTAAATTGATGGTTTAATACCTTGATCTCCTTCAGTTACAAAAAAAGGATGTGTCTTCACATCAGCTCAGATTTGTAAACAAATCAACTGATAGGGAAGATACTCAGAATCAAAGGGATGGGGGCATTGACATGGAAACGAAATGGGATTGCTGCCAAACGTAGTGAAATATCCTTGCACAGTTCTGAAATGTGTAAGCCTACAGATGAGCACGAGAAAAATGTGTTTCACAGAAATATGCCCCGATTTTGCCATCAGAGGGCGATACCAACACTCCCCTTTGAGGTCAAGCCTGTACAAAGGCAGCTCTGGGGGTGGCTTTGTAGGTATTTAAAACATACAATTACTTTTCCACTGCTAGTGGCATCCTCCTTGCACTCATAATACAATGTCTAACAGCAGCTAGTATTAAGGGACACATTATTTTCAAACCTGATTCCAAATATTAACTTTAAGTGTGCATCATAACATGGGAAGACCTGCTGTGGTTTACAGTGCAACACTGGGATGTTTAGGAAGCTTTTCCTGTTTATAGGAGAGCTGTAGCAATTTGATGAACAGAACATACATCATGGTGAGGCACAGGGGAGACAGTATTTGAGATTGTGACAGTGGAAACTACCTCTGGAGCTCCCCATATGCAGCACGGAGGAGATGGCAAGCTGTTCCTTGTTTAAAAGCACCAGGAACAAATGCGCAGTTTGCACAAGCTGCATTTCCATAATAACAAGTGGCAAATACCTTTCCTGTGGTTGGTGTGAGGAAGCAGCAGGATTATCAGCTGTAGGACAGGTCTAGTGAGTGGAAATCGAGGACAAGACAATGTCAACTAGTTGGTGCCACCGCCAAAGGCAAGCTTGACTGCATCCTGATGAAAGCACCTGATGAACTCCTGGGTGCCCCTGCTCCAGGCTGAGGCTTCTGTGTTGCACTAGGCACTGGATACAAGTCTCTACTGAGACAGCAGAACAGAACTGGCTGGGATCACCAGGACCTAGAAGTTGTGTCCGCAGCACTCCTACGGTATGATTTGTTGCATTCCAGATTTTACCATGGCTCTAGGACCAGCCAGGCTCAGCTGTGTAAGCGTGGGGAGGCAGCAGTAGCAACAGCTGGTGTGGGGAGCTGAGAAGCACGTTTGAGGACCCCTCTGTGACAGGGACCATCCCAAGCATCTCTGCAGTCAGTGCAGGAAGTAAAAAATAGCACTTGCCTATGGGAACAAGGTGAGCACAGGCTGTGACTCCAAAGCTGAGGGAGGGCCTGGACTTTCAGGCTTCCTCTTCCCAGGTCTCTGGACTATGCAGATGAGCTCAGACCCATGAGTTTCACTGCTCTCTCACAGGCCCTGGCAGTGTCTGTCCATCTGTTTGCTGCACTTTGCTCAGGTGGTCCAGTGGCAAAGCCTGTAAGCAAGGGCTGGAGATCACAAGAGTATGTACCTCTGCAGTGCCTCCAGCCCTCTCGCTTCCTTCTGTACAGGTGCCTTGGCCATACTCCCATGTACCTCTCAGGAGATTTTACCACCACCCTTAAAAGGCTGTGGCATCTGCTCCCCACGCTCACCTGCCCCTGTGGTGGTGATGACTTTCGGCTTGCTGCGGGCACCATCTCCTTTGGTGGTGTAGGCAGCGACTGTGACCGAGTAGGTGGTTTCTGGCAGCAGGCCTCCAATGACTGTCTCCTGGGAGCACATCCATGAGGCAGAGAAGAGGCAAATGAGAAGAACAAATATGTGTTACTGAAGTGAGCAAAAGGAGGGTACTGGGGTCAGTATCTCCAACAGCAACACACCGACACACTCACTGGCTCATGCTCATGCATCTCAGTCAAGCACACATCTTGCACAGAGCCAGCAAACAACTGGCTGCTACTTCAACAATCACCCGCCTAATTTCAATCTCTGCCTCCAACACCTGGCCTTCCCAGGGACCCACCAGCAACTTGTGTCACTGGTTGTGCTCTCCCATGGCTTCTGCCAAGAGGGAGATCTGCTCAAGAGACAGCCCAGAAGCCAGAGCCACCCTGCCACAGCAAGCTTGAGAGTAAGAGGACTGTGGAGCTGCAAACCAGAGCATGAGCCAGTTCAGGTGGCTGCAGAAACCTCTTGGGAGCTAATTTGGGGATTTTTAAAGTTGTCTCTTGTAACAGAGCCGCAGGGAGCACAGAGAGGCAATGCAGGGGTGGGGGGCCCCAGGCAGGGAGCACCTGCAGCGCTACAGCATGGGGTTCACCCTCCCTGCTGGGCGTGGCACTGTACGGATGGGCTGGGGTCAGTGTAAGGCGTTGGCAACATCTGAAGGGAAAACCCTGCACCGTGGGAGGTCTGGGAAGAGGGCAGACTCGGCAGGGTGCTAGCACCCTTGCATGCTCTGGCTTCCTCTGGGCAGGAGGAGGGCATGGCTCCACACATCAATTTGAGATCAAAGAAGGGAACACTGCTCCTCCCTCCAGGCCTCCAGAGGCAATATGACTTGTGCCAAGTCCAGCTGGCCAGGCCTGCAAACAAGCAAGCACAGCTTGCTCAGCAGCTTCCAGCAGCTCCCTGCAACTCAGAGCAGGTACCCTGTGGGTGTTATGAAAGGAACTGGGGCCATTAGCATTAATAACCCATGAGGTCAGGGAGCATGAGACGACTGGGCTGGAGAAGGGGCTGGGGAAGCTGTTGGGAAGGAGGCAGAGGCTTCAGGTTAGTTATTTACCCTTTCAGACAAGGAGAAGAGCTGAGGTGGAGAGAGTTAAGATTGAGTTGCTGAGGACAGGCAGTGTGGGCACTGTTAGAGGCTACTCCAGGGGTCTAATCTCTGCCTGGGGGATCCTTGCCAGCTTTGTGGGTATGAGGAGCACCTGTGGTTGCTCTCAGAGCACAGCCAGTTTCCCATCACTCACTCGCACAAACACCCACACTATTAAACCTGCTGATTTCCAGTCAGTGCTGCTGGTTCAGGTTACCTGCCCAGGCTTACTCATCAAAATCACCGTGTTACCATCGCGGAACGAGCCAGCCCAGAGAAAAATCAACAAGCACCAACAAGAACCCCACCAAAATCACCGTGTGAACCAGAGTCCGATCCCAACTCCGCCCCTGCAGCAGATTGTGTGTGCGGGTGAGTGGACACACAGTCCGATCGGTGCCAATGGACCCGCGGGGGAAGCACTCACACAAAACCTGCAGACTCTGAACATCCCAAGAGAATTCAACTCCTCCCAAATCCATGCAAAGAGAAATTCTCACGCAAAAGCATGCCACCGGAAGCAAAGCAAGCGAGCTGGAAGGAGGGGAGAGACGAGGGATGGATGAAAGAAGGTCTGATTGCATAATGTAAACACAGCACTGTCATGACAAAGCCACTCCGAGTGACAACCCTCTGCATAAAGCAGGAGAAGAAATGCACCGTGCTGGGGAAGCTCACAGTAGGGCACATAATTGAATTGCTGACTCTGAAAAGGTCATTTTTTACTTTGTTTGTTTCCAAATTTATATTTCAAAATTATGTGGGAAAAATTGGATTTAACTGTTTAAATGTGATTGTTTTCTTATTACTATCTGTGTTTCAGCCAAAGGTCACGCTTGAGAGTGTAGGTTATTTTTCATCACTACGATCAATGTGGCTTAAAGATTATATATCTAATTTTACCATGTAACTCGGTGGGCCAACTACTGCAGAAAGTAGGAGGCACCTCCTGAGTCGATCACTTGAGCCTGCCTAAAACTGCACTGCAACAAGCTGGAAATACAGATTATAGGAAATGTCAATTGCTTTTCTGCATTTAGCAGCAATCTAAATGCCAATTTTCTCTGGATTTGCTGCTTGTGGAAGGTTTCACAATGTAACTCTCCAGCCTCATTAAGGGAGCAAAAGAGACGTTTTGACAGCACTGTGTCTACAAAATTCACAAATCGATTTACCAAACCCCTCTTTTCCAACCTGGAATACACACAAGTGGTACTTACATGGTCGACGGAGTCCTCAGCTCTCCACTGATGGGGGAGAAAGGAAGGAGGAGAGAAAAATGGAGACAGAATTTTAAGGGGCAACGTGTAGGAAAGGGATGACAACGACAACAGCAGGAGTTAGCAGGACTGGGTTGGGGGAATTATAACACTTATACACAGAGGGTCACTTGGCACAGGCTGTGCCATGGGAAGAAATGGCATAGAGCAATTTTCTACATGCTGCTAGTCTGCGCAGTAGGTCTGAGATCATTCACACAAACGAGGACAGAGCTTCCTTCTCTTATGAATGGAGAGGTCACCACTTCCTAGCTTTGCAGTCCTTTCCCCTTTTGGCTCTGTTTACAGTTTCTTGCCTATTCCACAAGCAAAAGAAAGAAGGACAGTTTGTACTAGTAAGGCTCTGGGGCTGATTACTGCCCCACAAGTCACTCACAAGTTTTATGGCTTAATCTCCAGTTTCTGTCCTAGTGATCCCTCCATCCACCATCTCTTGTTAAGAACCAAAAATTTCAAAACACAAAACTCAGAGGGCACTCTGTGCAGGGAAACACCAATGCAACATTTACAGAGCTTCTCCTTCCTGCATTATTTGTGAGAAAATGCTCTGGAGACCTCAGAAAATTGAGAAGTGCCATCTCTTGTAAACAGTGCAAGACACTGAGATCTCATGCAGAATTCCACACTAAGCACTCTCCAACACTGCTGTGGGGCTTGGAGTAAGGCTCAAACTGGTGCATCTACTGAGGAAACAGCTTCTCACTCCCAATTACCCAAAACCAAACGGCAAACATTTGTTTGGCAAGAGCAGCCCTGCAGGTAAAGCTTCTACATAAACCATATTCCAGCAAAAGCTAATGTGGATTCCCAGCCATGGCAGCTCAGTTAGGGTTATTAAGAGGGAACATAAAGGTTTCTGGATGGATTTGGGGTTCTGACGCATCAAAGCTGCACTGGGACGATGAGAGTCAGCAGACCTTGGCTGCTGCCACGCATGCCTGTAGCACTGCTTTTTGTGGTTGGTGCACCAAAGGAAGGTTTGCAGAGATCACAGCGAGCTCTCTCAGCCAAGGTGATGCGTTACATCTCAGGTTACTAAATCTGCCTGGAGGAAGCACCATTCGATGGGTTCAAGCACAGAGATGAAAGTGGAAGATAGATATTATTGCCCCTGACTCACAGTGTGAGCCTTGGCAAGTCTTGCTTCTGAGCCTGAGCTGCCAGCTGTGAAATGGTGCTCAGACACCGACTTCCTCAGGACACTGGGAAGACCCAGCTAACACTGCTGAAGTGCCTGGGAACCTGAAAGTGTGGCAGATGTACTAAATGGTACTAGAGTTACAAGCTGCCTTTTGTACTCAGGCTGTTTCAGGTGGCTTTCACAGGCTGCAGCCTTTCACAGTGGCAGAGTACTCTCTCCTCAGCAGTAAAATACATGGCATTCTTTCAAACTATTTGTTGTTTTATTCTCTAAATTCAGAAAGAAGCACCTATCACAGAAATGTTCCTCTAAGATTTTATTATAGTTCACTTTTTGGATGCCATGAAATTGCAGTAGAATGACCCCCTAAACCATCTTAAAATTTGACTTCTGCAAAAAGGTCAAGTTGTCCTGTACGGCCAAGGCCCTCACTAAGTATTATGGTCAGCAAAGGCTCTCCCACACACATCTTGGTGTTGTTTCCAGTATTGCATGTTTAGCTCAACCCAAGCCACTGCTGTTTATGTCCCACCTGCACCAGCCAGCCCACACCAAGGTCAATAGCCACATGATCTGCCCTGCAAAAGTCTGGCTACAGGAAGAATAGGGGGCCTGGTAGCTCTTTCTTCCTGTACACTTCTGCTCCAACGCCATGTCCCTGGTGAGTGGGGACCACATGGATGGTAACACCCCAACCTGCCTCCATGTAGCTGCAGGAGAAGAAGGTGACACCCCACTGCAATGAACAGTGGAGCAGACTCAGGAAGCAATTGTGTATCACAGCCCCTCATCAGACCACAGCAGGAAGTTTACCACCCACTAGGATTTTAGACCAAGTATTTAATGTTCAAACTTGCTTTGCTCTTACATTTCAGTGGACTTTAATCTTGCATCAGATCAGAGTGCAAAGAAACATCTTGAGATCTGTACTGGAGGAGTAACAGTGGAAAGCCAGGCCTGCATTAAATACTCTGGTATAAATTCAGTTTCATTGTGAAACATTAGTTACGTCTTACCAGTGAATGGCTGTTTTCCCTGACCATGGCATTTGCAAAAGATAGATTCAAGCCCTCCTAAACAGCCCCAGCTATGGGAAGTGGATATTGCAGTTTTCCTGCGGATCCTTGTCATCTTTGCTTCAGTGACTGTGATACAACGGTGAAACTCCAGATGCAACCTCAGGTGCTCAGCCTGTGGGATGTGGAGGGGTCTGAGGGCTCCAGAATACCACCTTTGTCTATTACTGAAATGCTTCTTGGATGACTTCTTTCAGCTTTTTCTACTTATCAAGCAGAGTACATCTCCCCTCCTCACCAGTCTCTTACCTAGATCGGTGAGTACACCTGCACGAGGACTTGTTCCAAGCAGATTCAGATAAAGATCCTTGACTATCACCCAGTGAAAGAGGGAGTCTGTAAATTCCTCTGTGATATGCCTGGCATCAGCACTGCTAAGGGAGAACAGGAGTCTCTGCTTCTTCTTTCTCCTTTGATCTCAATCCAACTACTTGAAGTGCTTGTTGCCTTTACTTCTTCCTGCTCTTCTGGAGCAAGCTGGTGGGACGTGTGCTCAGTCTGCATGCTGGATGGAGAAATGCTGCCTGCAAAGACTGCACAATCTTTCCATGAGTCTGCAGCCCTTCTTGCAGGCATCACACCTCTCCCCTGCCATGACTCTTTCTGCAGAGCAGGAGGGAGGTGGCAGGAGTCTCCTCTGCAAAGCCTGACCTCCTTGTACTCAGCTATATCCAGCCAGTGCACAGCAGCAAAAACACTGCAAAGCTCTCTGGGCAGGCTGGACCATCAGGAGGCTGCAAGCAGTGAGGCTGATGCATGTCACATCCCTAGAGCGATGCAGGCAGCAAGCTCCCTGGCAAATATTCTGCATAGTAAAGGGAAGAGCAGTTGTTGAGGGCATTGCAACTTTAGGAGAAAGTCCCTCCTCAAGACATTCCAGTCTGTGCTGACAAGCAGACTGGAAACAGGACACAACAGATCCACATGTAGATTCACACAGGGTCTAGCTGCTGGTCTTGGAAAGAGCAAACAATGTCATGCTTGCATGGGAACCTGAATGCCTCTGTTGTGCCTGGTGCTGCTCAGCACTGAGCTCTACAGGGCTGGTATCTGTGACAGAATGGAGAGGATCAGGCCCACTGCTCCTCCTGATATGCTGCAGCTGCCCAGGGATTGGAGACCGAGGAAAGCAGATGGACCCCTGCCCCACCCTGAAGAACCTATTGTTTGAGCTCCGTGGCCTTGCTATCCCACACTCTCATAAGCCAGCCAGGACTTGTATGAGAGTGGTGGAGTGCAGCTGAGACCCTGCCCTGGTGCCCCCACTCCTTTCAAAGGTGCTCTCTCAGTGCCTGGATGTGTTGTGCCCAAGACCACGGGTACAGAAATCAATCTGTCATCACCCACCATGGCATCTGGCTGAGCCATGACGCGCAAGGTCTGTGCAGTAGGTGGTGTGGGTATCTGACCCAGCTCTGCAGCAGCACACATGCTCTCCCTGGGCACTTCTCCACAGGGCATCATCACATTTACTTGTCCATCAGTCTTTCAGCA